ATGTATTTGTAATAAAGAATAAATGTACAAGAAATGAAGACAATTTTTATTTAATGTTTTAAGCCACTTATAAGACTATTTACTGGGAGAGATCCAATTTTTTTGAAAGCTGTTTCTGTATGAGTGCAAAATTTCTGAAGATGCGGAAAATGTTTTATTTTTTAAATTATTTTCGTCATAAATTGTGAAATTCAATTGTAGAATTATGTATCGAATTAACGTTTCAAATAGTAATGAACTATTTTTTATCTGGATATGACTCGTGTTATGTTGTGACGACTGCGATATAATATAATACGTGATGTAACTCTAATCAAATGATCCATCAACTCTGTCAGTTTTGAGAACTAAAATCACGAATGGCTCGAAAAGAGATGAAAGGAGAGTCATCATATATGCACCAAATATAGCTTATTTCTAAATTCAGCACATATAAATTCCTTTTGCTTTACGAAGAATGACATTGGTTCTCGTTTTAAAATATGCTCGGACGAATTTCTCTTTGAATTCCCGTTTTACTTCATAAAAATGTTACTCCAAAAATTTTTATCCTTTTAATTTCGTCAAGAAAAGTTTCTCTTTTGTAGAAATAATAAAGAAATTCATCTCTCTTATGAGTCATTTAGAAACTGCGGATTAAAAACTATCTGATTATTTGTTTTGGATTATCCTCTCTAAATAGTGTATATTAACATAATATTTAGTATTCTAAAAACAAATAACAATCAAGCGAAATAAAACGAACGAAACATGTAAATTCAAAACTTTATTAACATATAACAAAAATATATTAAAATAACAAAAACAAAATTAATCTGGGCTTATGAGAGTCAGCGGGAGAAGGTACGCTATAAAATTTTAATAAATTTGTTATTCCAAATAAATTTTTTACTCCATTTGATATGTTGATGTCTTCTTTATTTAAAATTTTGAGAAATCATTGAACATTTCGATTCTTTTTGAAATCTTCTTCAACAATATTCTTAATCTATGATTAGATTTCGCGAACTTTCAAAACTATATAGTATAATCCATATGAAATAATGTATTAATACTAAATGCATAGATCAGATATATTCTATTTAATTTATTTTCATTCGAATACCTACATGAATGTTACGTAGAAACGAGAACGTGAATACGCAAGTAGTGAGACGACAGCATGGCTGCTCTTTTAATGCTTATACCAGATAACTTAAATATAAAAACAAATAAGGTAAGAAAACAATGAAAATCAAAAAATCAAAAAAATTATCTAAAATTATATCTAAAATTATATTAAAAAAGCAGTAAGAATATAAATGTGTTAAGCAATTATTATAATTATTTTAGAATAAAGGCAAGAAGAATATCTATATAGTTTGGACAAAACGTTTTATTGCGTGATAGCATTATAAGAACACGAGAGCACTTGATATGTTGAAGCAATTTTGAAAATATTCGCATACCTCTGTGATCGAAAGGGCTTTCTCATACATCTGCATTATTATACATTGGTAACGAGTAAATGTGATGTTATATTGCAAGTCGATCGATACGAATAGTATGCGAGCGAGCGAGCATTCATCCCTCTGTGTGTCAGTCGCTCCTGTCGTTGCTGTCTCCGCCGCACACCCTCGCTCTGTTGTCGCAGCAACAGCCGCCGCCGCTGGCATCCCTCTTCCGCTTTCCCTTTCGACGGCCTCGGACGAGCGCGAGAACGCGAACAGAGGGGTGCTGAAAACCCCTTTAAAGCTTTAACGCGACCGACCGACCCATCAGTCGTTAACGCGTGCACGTGCCAGCAAATGTTCGCGAGAGACTTCTGCGTCAGCTCTCGCTCGTTAAACCGCTATCAAATTGTCATAAAAATTCATATTGACAGGAATGCTCTTAACTTTGCTCCGGAACTGCGGCCGAGGATCTTTGCGTTTGAAAACAAAATCGATGAAATAAAGAATTTAAAATTCCCTGTCTTTTTATTATAATAAAAAATATATAAAATTATGTTCTTATTCATACTCTAAAACTTTTAAATTGAATCTCACTCTGAGGAATGAAATAACAATCTCAAAGATTGAAAATTCAACCATTCTTTCTTTTTCAAGACTAATTCAATTTTCATTCTTTGGAGTGAGATTCCACGCCAAAGGATTTAGAGAGTGTATTATATATATTATATGTAATTGTGAATACATTATTCTAATTAATTTAGATCTTACATGTGATGATTTTCCGGTCGTACTGCACACAATTTCCGTGTTTCGATGTACACTGCCAGTGTATTGAAAATCTATAATTCACTAAGTAATACTATAGATTTTTAATCCTAGTAAATGTATATCGGAACACAATCAACATATCGTTCGTATCTCTTAATTTTCATTATTTTTACATCAAATACAATACAAATACAAAAATTATTAAGGGATTCTGTGTATACATTTTAACATTTTTGGAAAGATTTGCAAAGTTATGTATTTAAAAAAAAGGAAAGGATAGTATCATTATTTAATCAAGTGCTCCTAGTATTTCAAAGAAAAGAAATATGTAAGACACGAATGGCCCTCAGAATGACTTAATCGTATGTATTAAGGATTATTAATTAAGATTTTTGGAAATTAAAATGAATATCCGCCAATATTTCATCTATTAATTAAATTTAATAATGAAGAAACAAGAACTTGTAGTATGTTTGCGACAAAATTAATTTTTTAAACATTTTTGAATTGCGTAGCATGTTTAGAAATATATTTTTTATTTCGTAAAAAAGAGAAACACTTAATACTGCAAAATAAACATAAGTCAGCATGTTAATGTATTGAAAATGTGAAATATCTATAAATTTGATTATAAACATCATGGTATTGTGGTATTTCTGGACACGCGACAGTGGCTTTCACGGTCGTCACAGCACATCGATCGATCTATTTCGATCCACGGCCAATTGGACGGATGTGTGAACTAAAGACGCAACGAAAAGGAAAGCGCGCGAGTCGCGAATGCGTTTGCACGCGACCTCGTTCTTTTGCCGTTCTTGTCGGCACTTGAAAAGCTCGTATGACCTTCTCTGTTTTACATCTCGAGGTGTGCACGAACCACACCATCCTGTGGGTACCGCCAACTGTCACGACGTGACGTTTCTCGACCCGCCTCTTACGAACGTCTCGTACGCGTGCGTGCGTGCGTGCGTGCGTGCGTGCGTGCGTGCGTGCGTGCGTGCGTGCGTGAGCAGATGTTTTAAACCGGATTCACGAAGGGAACGAGCGAAGAAATTTTTACTGAAAAGAGAAAACGACTGAGTTCGGCTAATCGAGGTTTATCTGAGACACAATTATCTGAATTATACAGAATCTGAGATTATATTGCAGAATTTAGAATCACGCAGGTGGTAAGAAAATGATAATTAGTTTAAATTGTAGTTAACTCTAAATAACTTTCGTGTCCATTTCTATCAATGTAAATCAATTTTCATCTCGGTTTAACTTACTTTTTACTTTCTTCTAGTTTTCTTCTAAGAATTAAAATTAATCTACATTGGTAGAAATGGGTCTTAGAAGAACCTAATAAAAGATTGTCAAAGTTACTTGCATATTTCATGAATTCGTGACTGTTGACATTATGAACTTCATAGCGCTCGGTTCAAGATTAATTTATTCTTACAAATCAATATACCTATATATACTCGTATATTATTTGAAATTAATTTTGCGAAAAATATCTTTGTTTTTCTTTCCAATAAAATCCATATTTATCAATGCATATTTTTATTTTGTATATGTAATGGTAATTTTTGTTTAAAGCAATACGTGCGCATTTCGTAACGGCAACGAATCACGAATCAAAGTATTTCGAGTATCCGTTCGATTGTATGAATAATCAACATCACAGAGGAATTAATCCTGCGGATATAATGATATGATTTATATGCAATTATTTACGTGAACCGAGTGCAACGCAGTACAGCACTAATCTATCTATATCCACGTATGAGTTCTCTCTCCTGATCGAATGGTCAAGCAATTTCATTTTCTGTACTAATTTATTCATGACCATATAGTGGAGGGCTCTCGATCGCAACCCTTTTTCTCGGCGCCAGATAAGAGCAGTCACATGTTACGTCACAATCAAACAAAATGTGAAGTCTTTTTTTTCTTTTATCTCGAAACATTTGTGATAAAATAATCGCGAGAATGCATTATAAATGTGATGTTTCATATTAATATTTCCAAATATTAATATTTTTTAGGAAAAAGATCTAGTCTATCGATAATTGCCTCCTCTTGCAAGCACGTATTGATACTTTTGTACAATTATTATCGATGCAATTGTATCTTAGAGAAGTAATTACACCGAATTTAAAGTCTGAAACATAATTAAAAGCACAGGCAATAAAAACAGGAAATAATCAACAGGTAATCTGTTATTTTCTGTTTTTATATTTGTGTTTTTCAATTATGTCTTTAATGGAGAAATTTTTCATTTTTTACGTTTTCATCTTAGAGGAAAAAAGTTTACATCATTAGTACTCTAGTTTTGATGAATACACCATCAAGTTGTCCATTGATATAACTAAAAATATTGGACATCCCTAAATGCATTAAAAGAGCTGCTTTTTCTCTTCTAATGAAAATCCGCGAAAAGGAATTTTCGCTGGAAATAAGAGAAAACGATTCGACTCTAATTGAAGTTTACCTGAGACATTTACACACAATTATTAGAATTATGATATATACAGAATTTGAGATGATTATATTACTGAATTTAAGAAATATCTCACGATTTGTTTAAATCGCACATCATTATTAAACGATTTCTGAGGACACAATAACGTTCAACTATTATAATGCTTTTAAAAATGTAGTCATTCTTTTTTATCTGTATAGAAAGTAGAACGATAATAATATCGTTGCATTTTGCGTAGATCAACAATATTGGCAATTTTATAAACGATGTTTTTGCATAATGATAATTATCTTGCGCTTTTTTCATGGGTGTAAATACGAACATACATTTTGCAGATGCTGTCGGTGAGCCAAGGAATGGAGGTCGGCAGCAGCGGACGCGGTGCATCGGCGGAAGATGACCCGACCGCTGGTGCGGTCAGCGGTGGAGTCGGTGGCGGCGGCGGTGGCGATGGCGACGATACCAGAAGGCGCCGAGATATACAGGCGGTGATGATCGCCGCGGCGAGGGATCGCGCGATTCGCACGGAGAGCGTCCGGCATGATCTTGCTCTCAATCTGCCGCCGAGACTTGAGCTCCCGGACGGCGAGGAGCATCCATATGGGGCGCATCCGGATCTTCACCTTCGCAACCCGGAACAGGTAAGAGAAAAACGCGGAGAGTTGAAGCGCCTCGCGACATTCAAATAAAATCATCGAATGACTTGATGGACTCGATGGAATGTCCGAGGATTGCGTTCAAATAGGGGGTTTATTCTTGAATCTATATTGTAGATGAAAATCTATAATATACGTAACGTATAATATACTATAGGATTTTCGTATGCGATATTTTCTAGAAATAATTCTCTAGATTTCTTCATTTTTATTTTTCCTGTATTATTTTTTCTTACTTTCTTTGTATTTGATGCTTTTTATTTTGTTTTTTTTTTTAATTCTTAGAGGGCTTGTCTTAGAATGTTAATAAACATTATTTATTCTTACGTTATATTTATCTTCTCTCTTCTTTTCAGTGTTTCTGTTTACGACTGGTTTCTTCAGAATTTATATTTTTATTAGCGTTGTAGAAATCTCTCCAAAAGTACAAAAAAATTGTCAATATTATTGTTTTTAACAATGGTGCATATATTCTCTAAATCATGATTAATGACTTGATTGTCACATTCTCATTTTTATTACAAATATAACGCTGTAAGATTATATGTATGTGTCGACATATGTATATATATATATATATATATTTATTTTCATGTTCATTGCCTCCAGGGAGAATGACCGAAAAAACACATTTATTTATTCACTTCCTGTCCCTCTGCGAATTCTCAGGTTCAAGTACTCATTATGCCTCGTCATCATTACGCAAGCAAGAATATTAAACTTCAAATCGCTTGAAGCATTTAAGGCTATCGCAATCACTGCTCTTGCAATACAGATTTACATTCTAGAAATTATGGTTTTAAAATATACGAAACAGGAGAGTAAAAAAATAATTTAATTCCTTAAAATTGGTCACTCAATTTTAAATTATAAATCTGACATTCAAAAAATTTATGTCTTATATCTTGATGTTATGAATGAAAAAATAAAGAAATTCTTGATTCTCTTAAAAAAATTAATTTTTTATGAATGAATATATCAGTATATCATAACTTTTTTAAGTAAATCTTGTATTCATGCATTCGATAATCAATGTAGATGTTGTCGAATTACGATATCGAAGCTTAAACTCAATTATCTTGAACTTCAAAGATTTCGCTTGGATATTTTGTCGTTTTTTATTCTTCGTACGCTTGATTATAATGAATTTTCTTGTTTTTAGGAGAGCGAAATTTATCAGAAATGCGTACGAGCGCCGCCAAATCGCACTGTGTTCGATAGCGAGAGTCCGCCGCCTTATCGGACGCCAAGTAGCAGTCAGCATCTCCACCCGGGACTGCTCGATATGCCTGGCGACCGGGTGACGCGGAGTCAGAGTCCCAGCAGCAGCAATTTGTTGCTGAATACCGCACGCTCGATGTTCAAGATGTTCCCGAGCCATACGACGCCATCATCGACGTCGATGCCGGTCAACAAACCGCCCTTTTCCAGTTATTCCGAGTCCAGTAGTAACGTGAGCAGTAATCTGAGCAGTAGCAATCTGTCCAACATCACCGTGGTGCCCTGCGAAACCGACGAAAGTCGGCAAGAGCAGCAGCAGCAGCAGCAGCAGCAGCAGCAGCAGCAGCAGCAGCAGCAGCAGCAGCAGCAACAGCAACAACAACAACAGCAACCCCAGCAGCAGCAATTCCATCAGAAGGTCTGATCCGCGGCGTCCTCCTTCCTTGACGCCGTTGTCGTCATTGTCGCAGCTGCATCATCCGATTTCGAGAACGAGCGATGGTACTCAAGATCGTTTTGCGCGACTGCAACGACAACGACGCCCTTCAAGACTGACTCACGGAAGAAACTTCAACATAGGATAAATTCCATTGGTCATGTTCCATCATGTTCAGCAACGTGTATTACATATACGCGAGAGAATATAATATCCTCCCGGCCAGTGGTATCCTCGTTGAATCGTTCTTCCGGCGTTCTTCTATAATGTGAGAGAGAGAGAGAGAGAGAGAGAGAGAGAGAGAGAGAGAGAGAGAGAAAGAGAGAAAGAGAGAGAGAGAGAGAGAGAGAGGGTCGTCCGTTCGTGGCCTAAAGGAAGGCCGGCGGAAGTAAAAAAAGCCGGCTCCTGGTAATGACTGTAAAGTCAAATCAGTTATCAAGACTCAATCGCCGTGCGTTGGTTCGCGCCTGTCCTCTTTTTTCGACCAGGAAAATCGATGCGCCGTCGCCGCCGCCGTTGTTGACGCGTCTCATTGTGCAATTCCACGCGGCCAGTGTCTAGCCTAGATCTCAGATTATTTCAAAGCGGTAGCATGAGGATTACGATGTTGCGTCGGATGTGAAGAGGATGGAAGGAGAATTAGAATGGACGGAGCGATCGAAGCTTGGCGTGGAAAACAGCGTTACCAACGCGCGACGTGAAGCGATGGCCTACCATGGAACGAGGGACTTTCTGTCCGGGAATTAGACGGTGAGAAGCTTCACTTCGAGGAGAAACGGATGCGAGGTTCGCGTCTCGCGCGATACCGATTCGACAACGAAGCAAGAACCGCCGGTCACCCTCTTCCAGCTCTCGATCGGATGCTCGATCGTCGGACATCGCGGAAGTTTGTTCATCGCGACGAAGACTTAGTAAATTATTTATTAACGATATAACATTTTATTCGCGACGGGCGGCTGCTGCGCGACGGCCGGGGCAAGTGTGGTTTCACGCGATGGTGGTTGTGGAGAAAAGGAAAAAAGAAAAAAAACGAACGAACGGGACACGAGTTGTATGAGCGAATTTGTTCGGTTGCGTGAGTGCGAGACCAAGCGTGCGTATGAGTAAATGCAAGCGCGCGTGTGCGGAACGAGTAGAACGAAAGACGTGCAAGAGGCACAGCTAATTGCAGGGTCGAGAGGGGAAAAAGAAAGAAAAAAAAAAGACAGAGAAAGAACGGAACCCGCGCGCGCGCTCGCGCGTGTTTGTGTATGCATGTGAGGAGTTGTGTAGGGGAATTAATGTAGTGCCAAGAGTGAAAACGGGAACTCTGTACATATTAGGCTAGGTAGTTCAATATCAATATACTTATTACGACTAAAAAAAAAAACGATATGCTACATACCGATTTAAAAATAAAACATCAAACATACATTACAAACACGCATACCATTAAAAACACGAGATGGCCGGCCGTACGAAACTATAATGGGACGCGCACACACCTCCGACAAATGTATATTGTTCTGGCAAAAGTCAAAGTTGAATATGTTATATATAATGTTCTACCTCGAATGCTATATGTACTTGAAGCAATCAATAATATTGAATCTTTTCCGACATAGAGATTAAAAATAATTATAAGGAAAATTAATCGATCTCTTTATTTTAAAGGTTATGTGTTCGTAATTATATGTTCAATTGTAATCATAAGTAGCAAATCAATGTACTGATACTTTTAATTTAAAAAATTTAAAAAGAGTTAGAACAAATGGTCATTTGTTATCGTTACATTGTGTAGTTTTTATAAATATATAATATAAAGTAAAATTTCCGAAATTTCTTACAATTCAAATAGTTAGAATGAAAAGAATTAATGGTTTCTTCAATTGCATTGTGTATGTTCTTTCTCTTTGGATTAAAATTATATACAAAGGAAACACAAATGCGACTATTTGGCGCGGTTGTATATCGATATTTATAATTGATTAACTTTTTCTTTAAGCAATTGCCTATCTCTTATTAAAACCGGAGGCATACGATGCGATTTTTCATGCTAGATTGCATGCAATCTAGTAAATTCTTAGAAATTCTGCGTTCTAGATAGCGATCGTGTAACTTTGGTCTAGGGTGAGAAACGTGAAAAACTCTTCACTGTATCTTTAGTGGAAAATGTTCGAAATTAACAGAAAAATTTTTCACTTTTCACGTTTTCACTCTTAGTGAAAAAATTACATGATTGATACCCTATGATACAATTCTAGTAATTGCAATCTAGTAAATTACTAGAAGAATCACATCGTATATCTCTGGCTTAAGTTATTCGTGTAAATATAACAGAAAAAGAAGGGAAATTTAGTTCATCAACAATATTGAGTTAAATCCAATCGACGTTAATGCAACCGTTAATTAACAATCAACCGTAGTGCATTCGTGCATCGAGGAAGAATCGAATAATCGTTATTTGTTCGATAAACATTTGTTTTGCAGACAGAGTACGTTTGTAATGGCGGCGTGCATACAAGAGTACATTTGCAATGCAAATCTATGAGAATGCGCATCCCTTTCGCGTTCCGAATGGCTCGCCCTGTGTCCGACATAACGCTATCTTTATTATTATTCAGATAGATAAGGCCTCAGTTTTGACAAAATAGGACGAGTTCTGCTTGAACAAGGATTCAAGTTTGATGACGCGTTTTTTAGTGTAACAACACATTTCAGTATAATTTATTAAAAATCAGTATAATAAATTTCTTAAAAATCAATATAATACATTTTAAATGTCCCCAATAATACCTAAAATATCATCAATGGCTTGATTACGTGTAGGATAGTTTAAAAAATGATTATACTATCACACAATTTTTAGAAGGATTATTTTTAAAATATTTATAATATTACTTCTCTCGTAAAATATAGGTATTTAATGAAATGTTCAATAATTTCGGTTTTTATAAAAATTCAATTATGAGTATATTTATATATGAAAACGCTTTGTCATCTTTGAATCTCAGTTTCGAGGCAGAGCGAATCACTCGATTATTTCATGAGAAGTCACCAATTATTATTGTATTTCTTAAGGGTCCGCGACGCAGGGAGAAATTGCAATGAAATTACTGATACGTTTTCCCTTTGTGATTACGGATCGTGCGTGGCGTACGAGGAATGCGCGAGACAGGAAGGCTGGTGGCACGCGTAGAGCGGAATAATCTCTCGTGCACTTCGTTAATTTCGCGTTAATTTCGCGAGCTTCCGCTTCGTTTCCGAGGAAATAGCCGGATTGGCGCTCTTAGATATTCATTTGGAATTCCGTTAAAGTGCACGAAATTCTCATACCACTGTCCGTGCGTATCCGCGATGTGATTTCGTCAAATCAACACAAGATTCAGCATTCGACGTGCGTGAAAGTGTAATGTCTTGACGGCGAGGTCCTAATCATCGTTAACATTCTTCCTAACAAAGAAGAAAATTGTAAATTTTAATCTTCGTGAAAGTGTCCGGGCAATTACGCCTGCACGGCGACGTTGTTTCGTTTCATGTTCATTAAGTCGCTGTGTGGCGAGTCGAGGAAGAAAATATCGTCTTTCTGTTTCACCTTTGAGATGTGTTCACGCGCATGCAATATTAGGCGACGAGGTTTAATTGTATTCTATGTAAAGAAATTAGCGCGTGTGCGGAGCGAAGCGATCAAGGAGGTATATTGGCAAAGATGTTTCTTTTTGTTTTTTTTTCGAATTCTTACTTCTAGATTGCTCTTTCGTTCGCTTCATCTTCCGCTAGTTACAATCTCATTGTCTCGTACGCGCATTACTTTTCTCTGTATGTAATAAAAAGAATGAATTGTATGCGTATTCGAGGGGCAGATAGATTATGACAGATGCAGAAAACTACGAGAATGCGGACGAGAGCGCAGAATAGAAGTAAATTCGAGAAAAAAAGATGTATAATTCGATGGGTCCTGTGCAAGTTTTTGGTTAAATTTGCGATGTCGTCGACTTAGATTGAATTGTAAAACACGACGACGCGAGCGCGAGATATTTTAGACGATAAGTTCTAGATGAAGTGAAATTTTTAGCAAGCTATTGTCGATTACTATTATCGCTATCAGACATCGTGATATATCTAGCAATTTGTTAATTGGGATTTAATGAGAGGTGCGAGATGTATGAGTATAATCGTGGCCTTTCGACACGAGAGAGAGATAGAAAGAAAGAGAGAGAGAGAGAGAGAGAGAGAGAGAGAGAGAGAGAGAGAGAGAGAGAGAGAGAGAGAGAAAAGAGAGTATAACGAAAGCGATCCCAGATAAAATATCCTTTTGTCCGTTCGAATTTACGGTTCAACTTTCGAGATTGCTGTTTTAAACGATTTGAAAGCCAAAATTAGATTTTTTTTTGTACCAACTGATTGTTCAGCAAACTGCTCACAAAATTATTAATCAAACGCTAAACATTCGAAAGAGAAGAAGTAGAGATATTTAATTAGTACAGCTTAAATCATTGTGTTATCGAATTAAAAGCAAATTTCGCAAATGACTTTTTTCAAATTCTGACTTTAAATAAATAAGATTCCATTCTTAGCAATCTCATCGTAACGCGAGGCGCTGATTTGATCGTTTCACCGTTTGCGATTGTCGCAATCTGCAACGTCAGCAGACGTGGCGAATCGAAACCGTTTCAAAGTCCATTACAAAATATGAGCAAGGAAGCAATAAGATAATGGAAATGTGTTAGAAGCGGAGACTAATGGTCAATTAAAGTCGTAAGACCAGTTGTAAGAGAATAAATTCGAAGACATATTTTTTATTTTTTCACAATGGAGAAATGACGCTAATAACAGTTAATGTGATTAAATTTTTTTTTTCTTAATTTCGAGAATTGAACATTTTATGAATATATTTTTAATTGCCAAAAGTTTTCGCTTCATGTTTTCAATATACCATCTTGATTTCTTATCATTACGACGGATTTTTGAAACAAAACAATCACTCGAACACGGTATGTGCTCTCATACATCCCAAAGGCGCGAGATCAAGCTAGCGACTGCCGATTAATCTAGTCACGTTGAGCCGTGTGTCCGGCCGGGGAATGATCGCCGATCCACTGATTCGGGAAATAACCAATATCGTCGTCCTTTGACGAATTTAGCGGCGGAAAGGATAAGACTCTCTCTCTTAGGCGTAATGTGATTTCCCAAGGTGTTCCAAAATAACTCGCGTACTCCCTCCGGCGAAATTGCGACGCGGAGCAGAGCGGTTGCAAGCGGGGGTCAAAAGCGGGGTCCTCCTTTTAAAAGTTTTCGTTTCTAAGCTGTAATTATAATTGTACTGTTGATAAGATCGGTATGTCTAGTCCCTCGCGATGGAAGGGAGGTCGTGAATTTCGCCAATGTCCCTCTCGCGAAATTCACCCTGTAAGTCTTTCGACCAATTGATCCTAATTTTTTTTCCCTTATCTCTTCCTCTCCTTAAGTCACCCTTGGTGTGAATCTGTCTGATCGATTTGACATCTGTTCAATCGACATCTCGCGATTTTGCATCTGTTAATTTGTCTTTGAATTTCTCTAGCTTTTTGATTTTACTTTAATAAGTTTTAATCAAATGAAAAATTTATGTTACATAATAAATCAATCAAAGAAATGATAATGAAGTGAATTAAAGAATTCTGAAAACATGGACCGATTGATGCAAAATTGTGAATCGAATTAAATGAATGAAATCACACTGGGGATGATGTCTCGCCGTTGTTCGTAGGTACGTTGCGTCCTGCAGTCAGCCCTCCTACTGTTGCTAATAAGGAAAATTCGTAACATGAAACTTCTTTTTTACAATCATTTTATGCTCGCAAAAAACGAAAAGACTTGGTGAGTTATATGTTACGAGCTTGTCTTATCAGTGCGAGTGAGTTATCTGAGAAAGAGTGAGAGAGAGAGAGAGAGAGAGAGAGAGAGAAGTGTGTTGCAGAGGAGCATGACAAAAGCAGAAATCACTGAACTTTGTACATATTGAAAAATGCACTTCCATATAATTCTGACATAAAAAGTCAGTCGAAAAAAAAACGTTTATGAAGTTTTGTCTTTCAATTCGTTAAAAGATTTGTCTCGATAGAGTTTAGTGTTCATTATAGTTAAGTATATTTTTTTTATAAAATATATAAAATAGACCTTTATAAAACATGTATCTATATATTTTAACAAATATATAAATATATACTATATATTTACATATGCATATAAAGGTCTACTTTAAAAAGTTTATGTACATATATTAGTTTACACTGAGAAAAAACAGTGTTACTTTAGAATGATTTTTTCTCGACTAATATTTTGAATATCAGTGTGCGTTTCGGCATGTACAGAATTCTGTGGCAGAAATAAAAGACAGAACTTGTTGTGTCATTTGACAAGTTCAAACAGCGAAAATTGTTCATACGTGGCAATGCGCGAGAGCGGGCGGGAGAAAGAGAGAGAGAGAGAGAGAGAGAGAGAGAGAGAGAGAGAGATAACGATAAAAGTAGAGAGAAAGAGATAGCGGAAATCAGGACTCCTTTTTTTCAACGTAATCAATCGATGTCGTAGGAACAGTGTTAAAGTAGTAGATCGCTTCTACCGAGAGTA